ATGTAGGTGCATGTACACTTGATCAGATCGCTCCTCCAAAGTTGACTTCGGAGGAAATCAAGTTGCCAAACCTATAGTCGAAACGGGTCTTGCGAAATCTGCGTAGGCGCAATGTCAAGAAGGCATGTGTATACTCGTCACGGACGACAAGTAAGTGACTGACATTCGGTCGGCAGTAATGATTTCCAAAAACGAACGCGTTCTTAGCAGCCCATCGATGGACGAAAGTGTTCTCGATGAAAAGATTCGAATTGGGCGATACTCGTCTTAATCTTAGGAGTCTTTAGAAAAAAATTAAATAAAGAAAGATTTGATCGAACTCAACAATGTTTTCCCGGAATCCGTGCCATGCGATTTGTCTAAGGACAAAGGCTCTGGACATGAAATCGAACTGATACATGGTTGGAAGTACTGTGTCATAAAGCAGCGGCCAATTCTTGTGAACAAGTACTTGCGACTGACGATTTCTTTGCCGATCGATTAGCGGCTGGTAATGTGAGGGAATCAACATCCCCACACATCTCTGTGACCTTCTGTGTGCGAAAGGCCACAGGAAGGTGGCGGATATTGCATACGTTAAACACTATAATGCTGCAAAGGTACCGGATCAAACGCCGATACCAATGAAGGACGTAGTCATAGATGGTATGGCAAAAAGCACCATTTTTTCGTCCATAGATCTGATGGATGGATTCAATCAGATCCTCATGCGTGAACGGGATATCTCTTACAGAGCAGTGAGCACCCCCAGCTCTATGCTCTGGGAGTGGCTAGTGATGCTACAGGGGCTCAGTGACGCCCCCGCAACGTTTAACAGATGTGTTACAAATCTGTTGCCGTCGGTGCGCGATATTGCACCGAGCCACTTTGACGAAATCTTCGTCCATAGCCGGGCAATGGATGCAAGGACGGACGCGGAGGTTCATAGAATCCATGTCCGAAAGGTTCTTACAGTAACGCGAGATCATAAGTTGTTAGCGAACCTCAAGAGGTGTATATTCACAGCGAGCGAGATAACATTTCTTGGCTGCATCGTGAATAAAAATCGTGAGTAAAAAGGTAGAAAATCGTGAGTAAAAAGGGTGTAAGCCCTGATCCGGAAAAGATCAAGGCGATTAGCAATTGGATTGTGCCAGTCGACGTCAAGGGACCTCAAAAGTTCCTTAGCTTGGCGGCGTACTTGCACAAATACTCGCGCAACTACGCCGATATGACCGTTCACCTCTTTCGTCGTTTAACTAGGAACTAGAAGTTATATGGTACGCTGAGTGTCAGCACTCTTTTGAAGGTATCAAGAAAATCTTGATGCAATCTCCTGTGTTGGCGATTGCAGACCTAAACAGACCATTCCATGTGGTCCGTGACGACAGCGTTTTCGCAATCGACTGTTTGTTGATGAAAAACGATGCATACGGTGCAGAGCGCGTCTAGTATCAATCGCGTCAGCTGCAAGTGCTAAGCGTAATAGTTTATTGCATGACAAGTAACTACTTCTGATAAATTATGCAATGGCAAAGTTTCGCGTCTACATCCTTGGACATAGGTCGTTTGGAGTCTGTACGGACCATGCGTCATTACGCGCGTCTGTAAACAGCCCACACCTCTCGCAATTGATAACGAGGTGGCTATTCTTTTTTGAGGATTGCAACTTTTTCGTGAAGTTTAAACCTGGACGACTTAATGTCGTCACAGATGCGTAATCGCTCCAAACCGATTACAAGTCAGCTGCGTAGTACAACAGTAGGGGTGATCCCACTGTAGCAACACTAGTCACTAATATTCCGCCGTCAAGATTGCTCGACGAATCAACATAAAGGCTTAGCAGAAACAAGGCTCTTTTGCAATTAATGGATCATCTGGTGACTCATTTCGTAAATGTTTCAAGGATTTACTGGCCTGTTATCAATTCCATGAGGATTAAAACAAAATTTACAGCGGATTTCTATTCTTTGCAGCCGTTTACGGAGAGATGCCTCGTGTTGTCGTCCCCATTCAAAAATAGTTGCGCTTGCGCATCTTGAACGAATGCCATGTCGCACCACCTAGTGGGCATCGTGGGATTGAAAGGCATATCTCACGGTCGCGACTTTTACTGAGCCTGCCAGTATCATTTCGTTTATAAGTACATTGGTTATTGGAAAGTATTCCATGTTGAATTTCCGTTCCTTTACCCTGTGCGGCACTAACTCCTCTACAAATTTCGGCAGACTACTGGAAATTCGCTTCAATCATATTCGTTCCCGCGACGACACTCGCAAGAATAGTGGTATTCTTGTGTTCGTAGACCAATTTAGCAAGATGTTACATCTTGCTGCAGTTAATGAGTCAATTTTATCCCATGGTCGTGCCCTTGTCTTCATTGACACGGTATTATGAATCCACGGTCTACAACATTAACTAGATTTTAATAGATGTACTTTGTTCACGGCGACGTTTTTGCAATCCGTGTTTCGATTCCTCGGAACACGTCTGAATATGTCTACTTTTTACCATTTTAAGACTTTGGGTTTGACAGAACGCGTCAATCGCGTCCTCAAAGATTTTAGGATGCGTCCAGTCTTTCACAAATGGATCAAATTTTGGACGATGTTGGAGTTTGCAATCAACAACCTCGTGCATGCGTCTACAACACATACACCAATTTCCGTTAGCGGCTTAATCCATACACACCTTCCAGCAAATTTAGAGCGTGACTCTGATTCATAGAAGAGCGGTTTTCGATCATAAAAATTAATCCGCCTCTTGCTCATCACGTGTCGAGGAACTCGACGACGCGAACGTTGCTGATGTTGATCTGATCGACATCGAGGAAGAAACCTCAGCAAAAGCGACTTCACAATGGCTGAGCCGGATATAGATACGATGCGGGTGTATTTAGCATTTTTAATGACAACACCAGCGAGGGTGAGAAAAATCTTGCTGAAGCAGAAGATAAAAATTTACTATTATGCACAAGGCGCTCTGAAAAAAATTACTGTGAGTCAGCAGACATTTTCTTGATGGCACGAGAAGCGGTGGTTCATTTTATGCAAGACTTCATCGCTTACACGGTAGTACGGAAGAAGCCGATTGCTGACGAACATGGAAGAGCCAACGTTATTCTGTTAAAAGTTAAAGACTTAGTTCTACCGTCTACATTAAAATTTACTTTAGCACGTGGTAACTAACGTGGTTACTAGTAAACTAATCCTCAAGAACACATCAGGCCCTTTCGTGTACTACATCGCAAAGATAAAACATCGGTTCCTTTCGTGAAACATCGTAAAGGTAATGCGTTGACGATCGAGTTACCTCGCAGGATACGTACGCCTCCTACGCTCAGAGTCGGTCGCCTCTGCCCGTGCCATCGGAACGAGGTCTCGTCCTTGGGATAATACATCCGCCACGCTCAAGAAACTCTAAGATATTCGTATAAACCCAAGCCAGTTTCTTAATCTGGCTCTGAATACCGCGTGCTGGCGACGCATTTCATCCACTTCGTCGCGAAAGGCTGGACGCACACGCTCGTTATTATTTTTTATTAAAATGCCTGATACGATAGGTCGCCTGTTCGATGAAGGTGGATGCGTTGCACTCACGCGTTTAAAGGGAGGCGCTCTTGTCTCTCTTGCTCATTACTATCACGCAGAATTTGTAAGCGTGGCTGGAGACAACTAATCTTCGCCTTTAACTCCAGTAAAATATTCGGAGTTGATCCTTTCGTCTTCACTACAGCCATTGTTGGACTCTCACACTGGCCAAACCTGTCACGTGGATTGCATCTTGAACCACGCGACGTAAAGGGGAAGCGAACAAACTGTCCTTTTCTCTGGCGAGGCTGTACACTTCGCACGACAGCTGAGAGCCTCGCACCCAGATGGTGATTGACGTTGAGGGTCTCGTCCACCAGTACGACGAGACACATCCGATGTCTCAGAAGGGTCATCGTTAAACACGCGCCAATGGCGCTGGTAGAGAGATTGCACGCTAGCAATCGCATTGTGCATTTAGAATCGATGGGCGCCTTACCTCAGGGTGATGAAGGAAGGGAGCACACATTCCTTTAGGTGCGTTGAGCTTTGTCGAGACAACACGGACATAAATCGCCCCACATGAGGTATGAAATTCTTGCCTCACGACACAGAATGCTAACTTGGCTTTTGCACCAGTTAAGGTTCGCTTTTCAAACCTAACACGAGCTGTTTAAGTATCTGAAGCCAAGCTTTGATCCCCATGTGCTGCACATTGAGCATTAAGGCGTTACGCCCGCAGCAACGAGCTTTTGTCTTCCTTAGTGCTGTCATTATACCAACGATGCTTCGGAAAAACATTCATTTACAAGTCTACTTCAGCTTAAAAGTTACTTGCGCTGATGTAGAGGCTGTGCAACAACCTTGCGTCGAATAATGAATTTCGATGATGTAGACTTGTCTCGCCTGACAGGTATCTCGAAATTCTTTCTAGTAATCCCCAATTCTTGTGTTCGGAGGCAAGCCGCAGCACATATACGTCTAGAGCCTCTTAAGCATTACTAACGGAAGTCTTGATACCTCTAAAATTGTCATTACGGCGGTAAAAGTCATCTCCGCATTAGCTAGAAAGCGAATGTGCAGTAGCAGGCGCGGGGGTAGGGCGTGTCAGCATGCTTATCCTCCGAACTAAAAAGGTACTCTTGTATTCACCATGAGTCTGACTGTCCGCTCGAGTCCTATTCGCAGGCTCTGATTCGGACGCCCCTATAGACTCGGGTATTCTAATTTTCTTCTTCTCGTATACCCACCGTCCGACTCCCCCGAATGAAAAGCTTCACTTGGGAGCCGTCATCATTAGCCTGTGGTGACTCACCACGTGTATACTCTCTGTTAATATGTGTCTGTCTGACGAATAAAATTACGTGACTTCATGTCTTTTCTGCAGTTTCGTTGCAACTGGTTGCAGCCTCGTGACGGACAGAGGGACTGGAAACCCCCAAGGGCTATGGTTTTTGTGAATATGCAGACGGAGCCACGGCTTTAAGTTCCATGCGGAACCTCAATGGGTACGAGATCAATGGACGCAACCTCCGGGTGGACTTTGTCGATGGTAAGGACAAGTCTGGAGGGTCCGAACGAAAACGTCACGAGACTGGAAGCCATAATGGGGACAAGTCTGGAGGGTCCGAACGCAAACGTCACGAGACTGGAAGCCAATCTCGACCTGGGGGAGCTACTGGTAGCAACTTTTGGAGCGAGGGCGGGCACCCGACGATGGGGACTGGAGAGATGGCGATCCATGCAATCGAGTCGGCCATCTCTCGGTTCGGACCAGTCAAGTTGTACGACATGTTGGTGCAGCTGAAGGAGCATGCAACGCAGAAGCCAGAGGTGACCAAGAGCATTATGATGGCGAACCCAGCGCTCACACCTGCACTTGTGCACAGAATGATGGCGAACCCAGCGCTAACACATGCACTTGTGCAGAGTTTCAAGACACTACAGATCTCCATTCCGTCGTCAACAGAGACACAAGCAGTGTTGCTGGCCCCTCCTCCCATGATGCACCAACCACCACCCATGGCAGGAAGGATGATGCAGCAACCGCTACGGCCATCTATGGGCGGGTCTGCGGTATCTAGTTCTGGTATTCTAGGTATGGCCCCGCCAGGTGTTCGGTCGGCTATGCCAGGAGCGTCAGCAAAAGCTGGTGGTACGCGATGGAGTGCACGACCGGGGCCTTTGGCTGCTCAGGCGACGAGTGCCGCTATGACCAACAGACCCGCCCCTGCTTCTAGCCCGATGCACACTCAGTCTAAATCAAGCTTGATGCCCACACCAACTGTACCAGCACATTCGAGCGAACCGCCTAGCAGTAACTTGGCGCACGCTAGTCGCGATCCTTGTCGAGCAGGAAGAGGAGATCCACGTGCAGCCAAGAGACCGTATTCCGCTGGCGAAGGACCGGTAGCGCCTACACAAGGAGACCACGACGCTCTGAAGCGCGTCAAGTCCAGCGGTGCAGGCGGCGATAGCGCTTCAACTGGTCATTTTGACGCTATCGCTGAACTTGCGCGCAACACGACCCCACAAAACCTCGACATGCTGCCACCAAACGAACGGCAGATGCTGCTGGCTTTCATGCAGCAGAACAATATTCCATTTGGAACGGGACAAAGTGTTTATGATGGTATTCAAGTTCATCAGGGTGCTTAACGAAAGACTACAGCAACGAACTAATTCCTGATAAACAACCAACAAAGAATAAGGAGCTTTCTCTTATCAAATGTAGCGACTCTCGACTAGCAGTCTCTACTTCGTCAGCGTAGCTGACTAACCAGAGTTTCCCCCATCTACCGTTGGCCCTTTGTGCGTTAATTCTTGCTAGCACGTTTGCCTCCTTTCGGTGGAGATTGACCATTGGTCCTGATGCCTTTTCGTGCACCCGAGAAGCCCAAGATATCGTTCGTACTTTCCTTCGTGTTACTTTTGCCATGGCGACGTTTGCCCCCAAAGCCAAACCTTGCATCTTTGGCCTCTCGAGTCTTGTTCGTCCGTGGCTTTTTGCTCCCCTTGTCACGGTCTCCACCCGTGTGCTTCCGCTTGCCACTCACGATGGTCGAGTCAAGCTCGCCATCGTCACCATCCTTGAGACCGCTGCCGCTGCGTGTGTCTTTACCTTTTCTCTTCTTCCACTGCTTCACAGCTTCAACAGTGTCTCCTTCTTCTGCATGTTCCGTTCCTTGACCTTCTCTGCCTGCACTTCTTTCGCCACCTTCCGATGCGCCTGTGACTTCTTGCGCTCTTCGACTGCCGTGATCTTCTTCTGCTCATGAATAAGCTTGTCCTTGACTTTGTCCATGTGCGCGCCGCGCTTGAGCATCTCGGCGAAATAATCGTCCTGCCGCTTGTACGCCACGCCGTCTTGCTTCAGTCGGTCTTTCGCCACACGCACCATAGCGATTGAGTTGGTGTAAAACGCCACTTCCCGCTTCAAATCGTCATTCAAGTTCTCGAGCTCTAAAGGAGCGGTACACGTCTCCAGGGTCTCGATCCACGGCAGCGGCTTGACGTCCCACTCCTGCACCAGCGCCAGCAGCGCCTCAATATTGTACACACGCTTGTTCTCTGACTTCAAAGTGCTCAAAACAGTCGCTGCTTCCGCCTGAGCCTCAGCTACGAGCCGACGCTCGATTGCACCTTCTGCTTCAACGGTGTCGCTGTCATTAACATCGTCGTCGCTCTCACTCTTGTACCCACGATCAGCGACCGCAATGGAGCTGAGCGCTGGCGTCTCGAGGATCTCTTCCTCTGCCGCATCTTCGGCTCGCACTAACGCACTGATGGAGCGACGGGGCGAGTGCTGCTGCTCTTCCGGACCATCACGAGTGAGGAGGAGCTCCGAGGATGGACTTGAGGAGCGCAATGGGGACTTTAGAGCGAATTGATTGGCCAGGACGAACGCGACGTCACTCGGTTGGTCTCTCGCGTTTGTGACGTGGTTCACAAGACTTGATCGAGGCCTGTAGCCATTTGGACTGTTCGTCGTGTGTACGACCAACGACTGGATGAAGAAACGAAAACAGGCGCTTGTCGGACGAGGGACACATTGGTCGTACATGTCTTTTTGCTACTGCGAAGATAGAGGATGCTGAACGGAAGCTTGGCTTGAATCAACGGTAACAGCCCATGATTAATGGGCGATTGTCAAGTAGCTGCGAGAGTTGCATCGACGACGATTGCTACATTCATTAATGGTACGCTGACATGATTGTCCTCGTTTTGACTCGGATTGCAACGCCTACCACCACTGCAGAAGACGTTTTGGTCTAGTTATGCTTGCAGTGTCTGAACTCCTTCTACTTCTCAATCGCATCGTGCAAATGCTGCGCCTTTACTATCTGCATTTGAGGCCTCCAAACTCGACATCGCAACGTACACTTTCAACGTCGAAGTCTAACAATGATCTCCTTCATCTCAGATCCAGGCAAATGGTTTGCAATGTTCAATTTGATGCCTTGCTTAGCACTCCATACCGGTGGCAGCAATCAAATCCACACATTGCTGTCCTGCGCATTAAGTCTACCACCCAAAGCCCGTGGACCCAAAGGCTCCGTTTCGAGTTGTAGACAGCAAATCGATCATGAACGCCAGGATGGCAAGGACCTCGTAGAATTAACGACGAGCGCAGACGCTTGAAGAACCTTTCAGATTCATCAGCAGCGCGTCCAGACGGTTACGAGAACATTCTCTGACCAAATCGGTAGAAGCGGGCGTCCAATGTATCCAGCATTGTGGCTGCTTCAACTGATGAGATTCGTGCCAGCTGCTCTACTGCAGCTGCGTCGGGTCAGACTCTATCGTCGCATTTGAAGGTGTAAAAGGCATGTTGTCACGTTCTGGAAAGGATTGCGGCACACCTGCTGTTTTAAATGAAAAAAGAACTGATCGAAAGAGTGGTACCGTAAGACTGTGGCGTGATTTTTGTGAGTAAAATGAGACGGAATTTCAAATCGTGCAGAGAAGAATCCTGTTGATGATGTACACTTTGTGCACGCTTAAACGTCTTGATGACGTCTGATTGTAATCGTTTTGTTGTTGTTGTCATGTCCGTCTATTAACATATGATTATGCTAAAGATGTCTGAAAACTTCTAAGCCAGGACAATAGCTCCGGAACTGGTAGCTTGTCGTGGCTGTCACCTAAAGGTATCGGCTTATCCCGAGGTTCGAGAATAAAGAGGTCGATACAGGTATGCATGATAGCCCCGGTGACAGCTGTGGCGGGACCGCGATGTTCGCGTTTTGCTAACGCGGTAAGATGTCGAATTCCCAGCGCCCAAAAACGCGCGGCGCTGTGGAGAGGCGTCGACTGCACTCCTCGAAAAACCGCGTCGTTCCGCTCATTCCATAAGTGAGTCAGACAAATGCTGCTCATAATAAACCAGAGACGCTTCCAAACCGCGACACCAGCCTCTAAGTCCTCCGGGAGCATATGGTAAATCCGAAGACGCTGCTTGGACGGTATCTCCGGCGCGTGACGATTCACACTCCCGACGAACCAACGCTCTTCCCACGGCCTCCCAGCCCGTTCACCTGTCCAATGGGTAATGAGTTGACCCCAGCACGCGCGCGCCTTGGGGCAGTCCCAAAAGATGTGAGCCGGCGTTTCTTTGCAACCGTGACACGCCAATAACGCCCGGCAACTATTGTCCGCCGGACGGCTGATTGTAATCGTTTTGAAACGGACACAAAAGTGAAACCTCAGCAGTCGGTTATCTGACAGGGAAACGACACAGGCGAGACCATCGTAGTGCTTCTACGATAAGTAGCTGCAGGCTCTTGCAGCTTTATTAACGACTATTATGCTTTCCAATTTATTTCCTGGCTACTAGTTGCCCTCCCTCTGCAATATCACCTTAAAAAAATCCAACCCCTTCTGTAATGGATGGGCGCAAAGGCTCAAAGAATCTTCGAGATTCAACGACTTTTCGACCAAAACCTTTCGAACACAATCCCGAAGGGCGGTAGGTAGAAACGAGCGCTCACAGTATCCACCAAGATTAGCGACTTAAAAGTACAGCTCGTGTCAAGTGGTCTGCTCCTTCTCCGTCAGATGACACTTGTACCGTTCAATCGCATAAATAAACTCCATTCAGGCAGAGATTGCAACATGCTGATGGCCAATACGAAAAGCAGCGTTGTAAAGATGTGGGACACAAAGGTTGTGCCATTGTATTCTGTAACATTAAGTTGTAGAGAATGTCGAGGAGACGTGGCTGTATTTTAGCCAGCTGGTCGCACCCCCTAAATCCTCGTCTTGTTCACTCATAGATCCGACTGAGCACACACGATGGTGATTCTCTTTTTTTTATGGACGGGTTAGATAGGCGTTCCTCATTCTATCGTTACATCTCTACCGCGCACGTATATCTCTTTACCTTGCGTGTTGCTTTGCAAAATCAAGAATTGCTGCAACCCGCGGTCGCAGAGCCAATCATCGCAACTTCGCAATCTCGTCTTGTATGCGCAATGCAACCACGATGCTTCTGCGACAAGACTTCTCTTCTGTGTTGTATGGCTGGATCGACGACTTTCACTCGTCGCATGACCACGACTGCGCGTGTACAGCACATAAGTGTCGAGAATGCAGTCCTGGTTCATTCCTGATTTTGCCACGTACGTCGCAGCAGGGAGAAGACCGAACAAAACAAAGCCAAGCCAAGCCTACGGTACAATGCCACTCAAGTCCGCCCTCTGAGTCGTCCTTGCTGTCGTCGCCTACGGGGGTGTTTTCGATGTCATGCATGCTCAAAGTGATGACAATGTAGATGTCTGCCCAGGTCACATGTGCGAACCTAAATGTAATTATGTGGCTCCAGTCAAGCTTCGTCCATGAAATGCTGCGATGACCACTGTGAAAAATTCAAATTTTCATAGTCGGAGGCCGGGGTCGTCTATCCCCTCCCTGGTTCAGGTACCGAGTGTGCACTATCCAGACGATAAGGTTCGACAAGTGACGGAAAGAGAACAAATGCCTAATAAACGTTTGTTTATCTTTTGTTCGTGCATGTCCATTGCGTAGATTGCAGTACTTCTGTCAGGTGTTGATAAATGCTTATTTGCCAAAAAAAAAACCAGAAGTCCTTAGATGCTGTTTTGTTGTGATTTGGAGAATACTGGACCTTAAATCTTCACATACAAGCGATTAGTTGAGATTCTATCTGATCTGTCAAAATGCAGGTGTCGCAATGGGAATGCAAATTTAGCAACCTCAGCCTTCACAAACTGATCATTACTATCTTTCTCTTTCGTTGCAAATGGCCACCAGCCAGGGCTTTCAAAAATTCCCGATAAAGTCTAAACCTGGAGAAGAAATGTAACGGGGTGAATCGTTACATAACAATTTATACGAAATTGTTAATAGAATATAACTATAAGAGTTATATTCTCAGAATATTGTCATAAGGACAAATATTCTGTAGCACTTACAAGTAGTTCCTAATTGGTTGATATAGGCCATTATATCAACCAACGAAGACGCGCCACGACAGACGCACGCCATGAGTGGTGAGCAGATAACTGATTTACACATTTGTATTCAGACATAGTTAGATGAGGATAAATAGTGATTTATTGCAGACATTAACTATTATAAATACAGTTCTACTTTTTACTCTAACCAAGTACTCGCTTCTTCTTACCGTCTTCCTCTGCACGTACGAGTGTACGTGAAGTTACGAGGCACCGCCTTATTCTGTTATCAGTATAAGTAGCTTGTACTGTCACCAGTACAAGCTTCAGGGTGCCCCGTTACACCTGGTAGCACTTCGTAGTCCGTCCAAGGACCGCGTTCACATCCAACATGAATATGTTGGATGATGAAGATGACCAAAGCTTTCACGCTACGCGTGACGGCTACTCCCATTTGAGCGATGTCGAATGGGATGCGGTTGAACGAATGGGTTCGACCATGGGCATCCATGCTGTTAGCGTCATGCTAGAGGCTCTCAATAGAGATGCCCAACATGCTACTATCGCCAAGTTCATTCAAAATGAACTTGACGCAGAACGCGAGAAAGTAGCCTTGCTTCACCAACAAGGTTCCCAACAAGCAGAGTTGTTGAGAGAACAAGGTGCTCAACAGTTTGAACTGTTGAGACAGCAGCAGGCTGCTGCTGGAGGGTCGATCCACTCGCGTCGACCCGAGACTTTGAAGATTGACATCTCCAAGTATAGGGGGGTCGAAGAAGACTCCCTCTTGAGATGGTTCGTCGAATTGGATGACGCCATAAGGGCGCGTCGCATCGACGACGGGGATATGCAAGTTGCATTTGCCCAGTCAAATCTGGCAGGACGTGCCAATACTTGGGCACTGGGGCTCAAGCTGCACGACCCATATGCGTTTGGGTCGTTGGAAGTCTTCAAGTCGCGGCTCAGACAAACGTTTGAACCGCCTAGAGCTGAGTTCAGAGCTCGAACCGAACTCTTGAAGCTCAAGCAGGGTAAGCGTGATGTGCACGCTTACGCTCAACATATACGACATCTCACGAGTTGTATAAGTTCCAATCCGGTGGATGAACACACGTTGGTTTCGGTGTTCATGCAGGGTCTTGCGGATGGTCCCGTCAAGACTCACCTGTTCCGGCTTGAACTAGATTCACTAGAACAAGCCATTTCATTGCGGAACAGGAAGACTTCAGTCTGAGACAGGCTCGCGCCAGCTCGACATCATATCGTCAACCGAGACGATATGACAGTGGAGGTCCAGAGCCGATGGAACTCTGTTATGTAGAGAGCGAGAAGGCTCGCTCTACAGACTACAAGAAGTTGCAGAGATGCAACAGATGTCAAAAGACAGGACACTACGCTTACGAGTGTAGTGCCCCTCGTCCAGTGTCTCGCGACACTGGGCGTAGTGACCGTCCACCCATGCGAAAGGGGCAGGGACGAGGGTCCGCAGTTGGTGCAAAGACGCAACAACGGGATGGACCGTAAAAAACGGACAGGATCAGTAGGTGCGGAGCACCCTACTGATCCAGCAACGTCAAGAGAATTTGTAGGCCTCTTGATGAAGGTTGCTCCCAACACACAAACGTTGTGCGTTGCTGCTCTAGGTAATGAGATCTCACTCATTACCTTGAAACTCGAAGTGACGAATAAGTTGTCCCTTCGAGCTCTAGTCGATTGTGGGGCGTCCAACAATTTTGTGCGACGCCAATCGCTAGAAGATGGTCACTTTAAATTCAGTGAATGTGACACACCTCCTACGAGGATGACGGTACGTCTTGCGACAGGCGCATCCGTAACCGTCATGAAGCGTATAGTGAAGATCCACTATACGCTAGAAGATACCCAATATGACGATGACTTTATCGTATTGGATTTGGATGACAAATTTGATGTCATCCTTGGAATACCATGGCTCAGAAGGTACGAACCACGGGTAAACTGGCAACATCGGACAGTAACGATGCCTGCCGCTTGCTCATCAGATGGCCATCTGATGAACGTTTTGGAGCGTCCACAAGCGTGTGGATGTACTACGAGTGAGTGCGATGGCCTCACTTGTGGTACGGTCGTTAGTACGACTGCAAAAAACCTTAGTATACCAAACGGTTACACTTCGTAGCAAAGTTCCGGCGGCTGTGAGGAAACACAGGCTGCGCCGAAGGTCCACCACTCGAATAAGTCGGGTGGACTGGGACAAAGATGTATCCCTAGAGGGGAACATCTAGAAGAGAAACAATCGATCGCTCAGGTTAAGCGAAACGATAATCCTAGATCGACTGGAGAGTCTTTCGTAGAGGATCTCGCTGTGGTTGCGCAACCCCAGCTAGAGGAGGTAAAGAGAATAAGTCCCCGGGAAGACGAAGGAATAAGTCCTTCGAAGCCTGAGGGAATAAGTCCCCAGGAAATGACAGAGACATTGAATGTCATAGTCAATAACGGATTAAGTGTAGGCGCTTATACACTTGATCTGATTGCGCCTACGAAGTTAACTTCGGAGATCACTCAGTTGCCAACGCTCGAACATAAAAGGTTCTTGCGTGATCTGCGTAGTGGCAAAGTCAAGCAGATCTGCGTACTCGTCGCTGACGACGAGTGTGTAACCGACATAAGGTCAGCAACAGTGTTTACTGAGAACGAGAGAGTTCTCAGTAGTTCATCTATGGACGAGAGTGTCCTAGATGAAAAGACACGAATTGAGCGATATGACTCCCAATCATGGGAATCGCTCAAGAAAAATCCTCTCTATGAAGATTTGGTTGAATTCAAGGATGTATTCCCTGAAACTGTTCCGTGCGAATTACCGAAGGATAAAGGTATTCGACACGAAGTCGAGCTTAAACCAGGCTCGAAGTACTGTGTCATGAAGCAGTGGCCACTGCCTCGTGAACAAGTACTTGCGATCGACAAGTTCTTTGCCGATCGTTTAGCAGCGGGCCATGTGAGGGAATCAACTTCCCCACATAGCTCTCCGACCTTCTGTGTGCGAAAAGCAACAGGAGGGTGGCGGATAGTGCACGCGTTCAACAAATTGAACGCTGCAACGGTACCGGCTCAGACGCCGATACCGAGGAAGGACGTAATCATTGATGGTATGTCAAAGAGTACCATCTTTTCGTCCATGGATTTGATGGATGGCTTCTATCAAATCCTTATGCGGGAACGGGATATACCCTATACCGCAGTTAGCACGCCTAGCGGCATGCTCTGGGAATGGCTAGTAATGCCACAAGGGCTCAGTAATGCCCCTGCCACGTTCAACAGATGTGATACACATCTGTTGAGACCAATACGAGAATTCGCGCCGAGTTATTTCGATGACGTATTCATCCATAGTCGGGCTATGGATGGAAAGTCGGATGTTGAGGTTCACAGGTACCACGTCCGACAAGTTCTTACAATCATGCGAAAGCATCAATTGTATGCTAACCTCAAGAAGTGTATATTTGCAGCAAGCGAAATACCACTTCTTGGGTGCATCGTTGGTAAGAACGGTGTACGTCCTGATCCCAAAAAGATCAAGGCGATCACCGACTGGCCTGTGCCGGTCGATGTCAAAGGTCTTCGAAAATTCCTTGGGCTAGCGGCGTATTTGCATAAGTATTCACGCAATTACGCCGAGATGACTGTGCACCTCTCTCGTTTGTTGAAAAAGAACGAGAGGTGGTTATGGAACGCTGAATGTCAGCGCTCCTTTGATGGTATCAAGCAGAGCTTGATACAATCCTCAGTCCTAGCAATAGCCGATCAAGACAGGCCATTTCAGGTGGTCTGTGATGCCAGCGATTTCGCAATCGGCTGTGCATAAATGCAGTACGATCTTGAAGGCGTTGAACGCGTCGTCTGCTATCAGTCGCGTCAGCTGCAACCAGCTGAGCGGAACTATCCAGTGCATGACAAGGAACGCCTTGCCATGAAGTGTGCACTCGCGAAGTTCAGAGTCTATGTATTAGGAGATAGACCCTTCGTTGTTTACACTGACCATGCGTCATTGCGCACTGCTGTAAACAGCCCGCACCTTTCACAACAAATGGCGCGGTGGTTGTCATTCTTCGCGGAATACAACTTTACGGTAGAGTACAAACCAGGACGACTTAATGTCGTTGCTGATGCACTCTCACGTCGTCCCGACTTTGAAACAGTCGCGAAACCCAACAGTGAGACAGTCACTGTTGCGGTTATGACGTCCTCAGTCCCTTCTACAACGTTGTATGATGATGTGAGGCGGGCATACGCCCAAGATGGTGAGATAGTGAAGTTGTTGTCACATCTCTCCCAACCATCTCGAGAATCGTTGAAACGATTGTCGTCTGCGTATCGATCTGCATCAGATCGATACACTACTCGTAACGGTTTACTGTACTATACAGCCGTTTCTGGTGACACACCACGTGTTGTCATTCCAGATGATACTGATCTGCGTTTGCGGATCATGTTAGAGTATCACGATGCTCCTATAGGAGGACATCGTGGCCGAGAGAAAACATATCTCACGGTAAGTCGAGACTTTTACTGGCCCCGCCAGTATCAGTTTGTGCGAAAGTATGTTCGCGCATGCGAAGTCTGCCAACGAGTGAAGTCAAGTCCTTCACTGCGTGCACCTTTACAGCCTCTACCGGTTCCGGATGAGTGCTGGGAATCCATCTCGATGGATTTCGTCTTCAGGTTACCCAAAGACGCACGCGGGAATACGGGTATTCTCGTATTTGTTGACAGATTCAGCAAAATGGTACACCTTGTGGCTGTACCAGAGTCAATCACGGCAAGTGGCTGTGCTTGTGTCTTTATTGACACCATCTTCCGACTTCATGGGTTGCCCCGTGAACTCGTATCAGACAGAGATCCACGCTCCACTGCTGATTCCTGGCGTTCCGTGTTCAAATCACTCGGAACGCGCTTGAAGATGTCAACATCTGATCATCCAGAATCAGATGGTCAGACGGAACGTGCCAATCGTGTCCTTGAAGAGATACTTCGAGGATACGTACACTCCTTTAAAAGTTGGAGTGAGTTTTTGCCAATGGTAGAGTTTGCCATCAACAACTCGGTGCATGCGTCCACGACACATACACCGTTTTACGTGAATGGCTTACGCCATCCGCGTGTACCCACCTTACTAGAGTGTAACTCTGGTTTAAGGGGGAGGGACTCGCGCGAGCAAAAAACCGATTTGGTTCACGCTCATCACGCTCTGACGAAGAAGTCATTGCGTTCGATGCCTATATCGATAACATCGATATCGAAGAAGATGATACCAGTGAGAGTGCGGAAGCCCTCACTGAATACAACGATCCCAGCGAGAGTGCGGAAGCCCTCACTGAAGAAAAGGTTGGTGTTACTGCAGTGCGCTCACAGCACACTGAAGCTAACGAGTCATCAGATGAGTTCATACTGGCTCGTGAAACGGTAGTCCGTTTTGTGCAAGACTCCATCGCCGAAGCGGTGGATAAGCAAAAGCAAAACGCTGACAAGAATGGAAGGGCAAACACTCTTTTATTTAATAAAGGTGACTTAGTCCTACTGTCTACGGTTAATCTACCAAAGCATGTAGTGACTAACTTGGGTAGCAGTAAACTACTACCCAAGTACATTGGCCCATTTCGTGTATTGCACCGCCTAGGCAATGCATACACGATCGAGTTACCACGTAAGATGCGAACGCATCCCACGTTTTACGTTGGTCGGCTTAAGCCGTACCATCAGTACGCTGCTTCTTCCGATGAAGAACGCCCTTGCGCTCAAGCATCTCGCAGAGAGCCTTGTGCTCCCGATGGTGGGCATCAACAAGGGTCTGAAGAGCAGTTATCTCAGCCCGAGACCGATCAACAATCCCACGAGCTACCCTTAGATCGTCACGAAGAGATGTCAGAGATCTCTCGTTCTCAAGCTGAGCAAAGGCAAACTCAGCTCGATGCTTCGAGGGCAGTGTCCGCCATTTGGAGACGCCTGTCCCGCTCATGTTCGAGATCGTCGCGTAACCCTTGCGTTACGCGATCAAAGAAGCTCTCGGGAACACACGGATCCACATGATCGTGTGGAGAGCTTCTTTCCTCCTCCTCCACCTCCATTAGAGGACTCTCGCGGTGGCCAGCGCTATCTAGTTGAGCAGCTGTTGAACCACCGCGACGTGAACGGACGTCGGACGAGTTATCTCGTCCGGTGGCGCGGCTATCCTCCGTCCTGGGATTCTTGGGAGCCCCGCTCCCAACTGATGATCGACGTACTGGGTCTGGTTGAGCAGTACGACGCGGCACATCCTGTGCCGCAGAAGGACCGCCGGAGAAATTCTCTCCGGCACGGTCGTAAAGGGATTTCAGGTTGTCAATCCCTTCGTACATCTCAGTAGAGACACGTACGCGCCACCACGGGCTATTAGGGAGGTAAGCCTCCTTAGGTGCTCGTGCAGAGTTGTTCACACAACATGGGCACGGGTCTCCTCAAGAGAGGCAGGGTAATCCTTTCTCCCTTGACAGACGATGCAGCTTGTAGCGTGCACCTGTCGGGGTTCGCTTTTCAAACTTATCACGAGCTTTGATAAGTTTGTCGTTCCAAACGTCACGACCTACATCCTCGAGGTTATGGATGTAGGCGTTCCACGCCTGAATTATTGAGGGACCATCACGTTTGTGATTCCCACTGTACCATCGATGTCTGAAGAAAGCATCGATGAAGAACTCATGTTCAGCGCGATAGTCTTTCGCGCTGGGGTCAAGGTGATGGATCCTTGACGAATCGAACAATCGTGTTCGATAACGATCACTCGTCGTCGCCGACAAGTGATCCATGACTGACTTTGGAGGCATCCATGTCTTCTTTTCTGGAGCGAGACGCAACACACTGCGGTCCCGCTCTTCCTGCGACGTGCCGACAGAAGTACTGGCACCTCGCTGCGAAGTGGTGTCCATTGGAGAACCGACACCACTATTAGCGCCCGAGTCTCGCGACCTCGAGCGCCTTCGCTTCGGCGATGGTTCATCTGATTCGTCAGATGAACCAAAGATGCTGCGACGCAAAGCATCATCCATGCCACGCTTGGCAGGCGGCTTGGATTCAATTGCCGTCGATACGGATCCGTCATCCGTATCAGGAGAGTACGAGACACCGAGCTCGTACTCTGTGAAGACACGAGTGTCTTCATGACCAGCGCCTGCATCACCAGGTGATACAGGCTGAGTCGATTCAGCAACCGATGGGACATCAGTTGCTGTAGTTTCTGCTTCGGCGTCCGCACAGAGACGTGCAGACGCGCTCTCGGCGGCCTTGCTCGCGCATCGCATGGGCTTGTTAACCATGCGATGAGATGTTGGAAAGTGGACACGGACCAACAAGTGCAAACCCTGTCCCAAATGATTTGGGACGAGTATCCATTTAGTCAATCAGTCACTAAAGTGACTGATGGTTAAGGGGTGGGGTGATGTGACGGGGTGAATCGTTACATAACAATTTATAAGAAATTGTTAATAGAGTATAACTATAAGAGTTATATTCTCAGAATATTGTCATAAGGACAAATATTCTGTAGCACGTAAGAATAGTTCCTAATTGGTTGATATAGGCCACTATATCAACCAACGAAGACGCGCCACGACAGACGCACGCAATGAGTGGTGAGCAGATAGTTGATATGCACATTTGTATTTAGACATAGTTAGATGAAGATAAATAGTGATTTATTGCAGACATTAACTATTATAAATACAGTTCTACTTTACTCTAACCAAGTACTCGCTTCTTCTTACCGTCTTCCTCTGCACGTACGAGTGTACGTGAAGTTACGAGGCACCGCCTTATTCTGTTATCAGAATAAGTAGCTTGTACTGTCACCAGTACAAGCTTCAGGGTGCCCCGTTACACGAAACCTTTGGTCAACTTTAACAAGTAGACCCAAGGTTTTACAAATTTAAAGTTCGTCCTAAATGTTTTATTTTTGTTCCATCAAAACCGATCCTTCAAATGCTATTTCGATGTAATAATTTGCATTCGAATAGTCGTTGCCTCTGCCAAGTGTTGTTCGACAGGCGGTGTTCAAAGCCGCATCAAATTTCTTTTTGGACTTTCGCCATCATGGAATAATTACAGTTTCACCCAAAGCTACGGAATTTTGGCGATACGCGCTTAAATAATCATGGTAATTGATTACGAAATAAATGAGCCATTTTTGGCATTACAAATTGTGCTAGAAAAATTGACGATTCCTATCCCAAACGCATACCTCGGTAGTGATCAATGCTAAAAGATTTACTGTTACCGACTAGCCGCGCGGCACCAACACAACATCGAGTGTACATCGTACGGCCGCGCGACTCATATGTTAAAATGAGCATCAAAAGTTGCAATTTGCACGCAGTTTAACGCGGGAACCGTGGGCAAAGTATTACACTTTAATAATTAGGACTGCGCAATCAAAGACTTAGCTATCACATACCGATTGTTCTGTCTGGGAATATGCGAAGCGAATATTGACGTTGCTAAATGTAACTACGCAACCTTTTCTGGGTGCCACGAAGCTTCACGTACACTAGAACGTGCAGAGGAAGCTCGCATCTGCCTCTCAGCATCTTCCGCCGCACATTGTATGGAGTTGTTTACCTTTCATGGAATCCTTATTTGAATGGATCAGACCAGTACATGCCCTCTTTGTACCTGATGTGGCCTTACATTGACCACATTTACATAAAAGTTGAGTGACTGTTGTAACGGGGTGAATCGTTACATAACAATTTATACGAAATTGTTGATAGAATATAACTATAAGAGTTACATTCTCAGAATATTGTCATAAGGACAAATATTCTGTAGCACGTAAGAATAGTTCCTAATTGGTTGATTTAGGCCAGTATATCAACCAACGAAGACGCGCCACGACAGACGCACGCCATGAGTGGTGAGCAGATAGTTGATATGCACATTTGTATTCAGACATAGTTAGATGAGGATAAATAGTGATTGATTAACAGACATTAACTATTATAAATACAGTTCTACTTTTTACTTTAATCAAGTACTCGCTTCTTCTTACCGTCTTCCTCTGCACGTACCAGTGTACGTGAAGTTACGAGGCACCGCCTTATTCTGTCATCAGAATAAGTAGCTTGTACTGTCACCAGTACAAGCTTCAGGGTGCCCCATCACACCTGGTAGCACTTCGTAGTCCGTCCAAGGACCAAGTTCACACCTAACATGAATATGTTAGATGATGAAGATGACCAAAGCTTTCACGCTACCGTAAAGGCTACTCCCATTTGAGAGATGTCGAATGGGATGCGGTTGAACGGATGGGTTCAACCGTAGGCATCCACGCTGTTAGCGTCATGCTAGAGGCTCTCAATAGAGATGCCCAACATGCTACTATCGCCAAAATCATTCAAAATGAACTTGACGCTGAACGCGAGAAAGTAGCCTTGCTTCACCAACAAGGTTCTCAACAAGCAGAGTTGTTGAGAGAACAAGGTGCTCAACAGTTTGAACTGTTGAGACAGCAGCAGGCTGCTGCTGGTGGGTCGATGCACTCGCGTCGACCCGAGACTTTGAAGATTGACATCTCCAAGTATAGGGGGTCGAAGAAGACTCCCTCTTGAGATGGTTCGTCGAATTAGACGACGCCATAAGGGCGCGTCGCATCGACGACGGGGATATGTAAGCTGCATTTGCCCAGTCAAATCTGGCAGGACGTGCCAAGACTTGGGCACTGGGGCTCAAGTTGCACGACCAATATGCGTTTGGGTCGTTGGAAGTCTTCAAGTCGCGGCTCAGACAAACGTTTGAACCGCCTAGAGCTGAGTTCAGAGCTCGAACCGAACTCTTGAAGCTCAAGCAGGGTAAGCGTGATGTGCACGCTTACGCTCAACATATACGACATCTCACGAGTTGTATAAGTTCCAATCCGGTGGATGAACACACGTTGGTTTCGGTGTTCATGCAGGGTCTTGCGGATGGTCCCGTCAAGACTCACCTGTTCCGGCTTGAACTAGATTCACTAGAACAAGCCATTTCATTGCGGAACAGGAAGACTTCAGTCTGAGACAGGCTCGCGCCAGCTCGACATCATATCGTACACAGAGACGATATGACAGTGGAGGTCCAGAGCCGATGGAACTCTGTTATGCAGAGAGCGAGAAGGCTCGTTCTACCGACTACAAGAGGTTGCAGAAATGCAATAGATGTCAAAAGACAGGACACTACGCTTACGAGTGTAGTGCCCCTCGTCCAGTGTCTCGCGACACTGGGCGTAGTGACCGTCCACGCATGATTTAGGGGCAGGGACGAGGGTCCGCTGTTGGTGCAAAGACGCAACAACGGGATGGACCGTAAAAAAACGGACAGGATCAGTAGGTGCGGAGCACCCTACTGGTCCAGCAACGTCAAGAAATTTTGTAGGCCTCTTGATGAAGGTTGCTCTCAATACACAAACGTTGTGCGTTGCTGCTCTAGGTAATGAAGTCTCACTCATTACCTTGAAACTCGAAGTGACAAATAAGTTGTCCCTTCGAGCTCTAGTCGATTGTGGGGCGTCCAACAATTTTGTGCGACGCCAATCGCTAGAAGATGGTCATTTTAAGCTCAGTGAATGTGACACACCTCCTACGAGGATGACGGTACGTCTTGCGACAGGCGCATCCGTAACCGTCATGAAGCGTATAGTGAAGATCCACTATACGCTTGAAGATACCCAATATGACGATGACTTCATCGCATTGGATTTGGATGACAAATTTGATGTCATCCTTGGAATACCGTGGCTCAGAAGGTACGAACCACGAGTAAACTGGCAACATCGAACAGTAACGATGCCTGCCGCTTGTTCATCAGATGGCCATCTGATGAACGTTTTGGAGCGTCCACAAGCGTGTGGATGTACTACGAGTGAGTGCGATGGCCTCACTTGTGGTACGGTCGTTAGTACGACTGCACAAAACCTTAGTATACCAAACGGTTACACTTCGTAGCAAAGTTCCAGCGGCTGTGAGGAAACACAGGCTGCGCCGAAGGTCCACCATTCGAATAAGTCGAGTGGAGCGGGACAAAGATGTATCCCTAGCGGGGAACATCAAGAAGATAAACGATCGATCGCTCAGGTTAAGCGAAACGATAATCCTAGATCGACTGGAGAGTCTTTCGTAGAGGATCTCGCTGTGGTTGCGCAACCCCAGCTAGAGGAAGTAAAGGGAATAAGTCCCGATATTACAAATACGGTATACATAAGTTCCCCGAAATCCGAGGGAATAAGTCCCCGGGAAGACGAAGGAATAAGTCCTTCGAAGCCTGAGGGAATAAGTCCCCAGGAAATGACAGAGACATTGAATGTCATATTCAATAACGGATCAAGCGTAGGCGCTTATACACTTGATCTGATTGCGCCTACGAAGTTAACTTCGGAGATCACTCAGTTGCCAACGCTCGAACATAAAAGGTTCTTGCGTGATCTGCGTAGTGGCAAAGTCAAGCAGATCTGCGTACTCGTCGCTGACGACGAGTGTGTAACCGACATCAGGTCAGCAACAGTGTTCACTGAGAACGAGAGAGTTCTCAGTAGTTCATCTATGGACGAGAGTGTCCTAGATGAAAAGACACGAATTGAGCGATATGATTCCCAATCGTGGGAATCGCTCAAGAAAAATCCTCTCTATGAAGATTTGGTTGAATTCAAGGATGTATTCCCTGAAACTGTTCCGTGCGAATCACCGAAGGATAAGGGTATTCGACACGAAGTCGAGCTTAAACCAGGCTCGAAGTACTGTGTCATGAAGCAGTGTCCATTGCCTCGTGAACAAGTACTTGCGATCGACAAGTTCTTTGCCGATCGTTTAGCAGCGGGCCATGTGAGGGAATCAACTTCCCCACATAGCTCTCCGACCTTCTGTGTGCGAAAAGCAACAGGAGGGTGGCGGATAGTGCACGCGTTCAACAAATTGAACGCTGCAACGGTACCGGCTCAGACGCCGATACCGAGGAAGGACGTAATCATTGATGTTATGTCAAAGAGTACCATCTTTTCGTCCATGGATTTGATGGATGGCTTCTATCAAATCCTTATGCGGGAACAGGATATACCCTATACCGCAGTTAGCACGCCTAGCGGCATGCTCTGGGAATGGCTAGTAATGCCACAAGGGCTCAGTAATGCCCCTGCCACGTTCAACAGATGTGATACACATCTGTTGAGACCAGTACGAGAATTCGCGCCGAGTTATTTCGATGACGTATTCATCCATAGTCGGGCTATGGATGGAAATTCGGATGTTGAGGTTCACAGGTACCACGTCCGACAAGTTCTTACAATCATGCGAAAGCATCGATTGTATGCTAACCTCAAGAAGTGTATATTTGCAGCAAGCGAAATACCACTTCTTGGGTGCATCGTTGGTAAGAACGGTGTACGTCCTGATCCCAAAAAGATCAAGGCGATCACCGACTGGCCTGTGCCGGTCGATGTCAAAGGTCCTCGAAAATTCCTTGGGCTAGCGGCGTATTTGCATAAGTATTCACGCAATTACGCCGAGATGACTGTGCACCTCTCTCGTTTGTTGAAAAAGAACGAGAGGTGGTTATGGAACGCTGAATGTCAGCGCTCCTTTGATGGTATCAAGCAGAGCTTGATACAATCCTCAGTCCTAGCAATAGCCGATCAAGACAGGCCATTTCAGGTGGTCTGTGATGCCAGCGATTTCGCAATCGGCTGTGCATAAATGCAGTACGATCTTGAAGGCGTTGAACGCGTCGTCTGCTATCAGTCGCGTCAGCTGCAACCAGCTGAGCGGAACTATCCAGTGCATGACAAGGAACGCCTTGCCATGAAGTGTGCACTCGCGAAGTTCAGAGTCTATGTATTAGGAGATAGACCCTTCGTTGTTTACACTGACCATGCGTCATTGCGCACTGCTGTAAACAGCCCGCACCTTTCACAACAAATGGCGCGGTGGTTGTCATTCTTCGCGGAATACAACTTTACGGTAGAGTACAAACCAGGACGACTTAATGTCGTTGCTGATGCACTCTCACGTCGTCCCGACTTTGAACCAGTCGTGAAACCCAACAGTGAGACAGTCACTGTTGCGGTTATGACGTCCTCAGTCCCATCTACAACGTTGTATGATGATGTGAGGCGGGCATACGCCCAAGTTGGTGAGATTGTGAAGTTGTTGTCACATCTCTCCCAACCATCTCGAGAATCGTTGAAACGATTGTCGTCTGCGTATCGATCTGCATCAGATCGATACACTACTCGTAACGGTTTACTGTATTATACAGCCAATTCTGGTGACACACCACGTGTTGTCATTCCAGATGATACTGATCTGCGTTTGCGGATCATGTTCGAGTATCACGATGATCCTATAGGAGGCCATCGTGGCCGGGAGAAAACATATCTCACGGTAAGTCGAGACTTTTACTGGCCCCGCCAGTATCAGTTTGTGCGAAAGTATGTTCGCGCATGCGAAATCTGTCAACGAGTAAAGTCAAGTCCTTCACTGCGTGCACCTTTACAGCCTCTACCGGTTCCGGCTGAGTGCTGGGAATCCATCTCGATGGATTTTGTCTTCGGGTTACCCAAAGACGCACGCGGGAATACGGGTATTCACGTATTTGTTGACAGATTCAGCAAAATGGTACACCTAGTGGCTGTAACAGAGTCAATCACGGCAAGTGGCTGTGCTTGTGTCTTTATTGACACCATCTTCCGACTTCATGGGTTGCCCCGTGAACTCGTATCAGACAGAGATCCACGCTCCACTGCTGATTCCTGGCGTTCCGTGTTCAAATCACTCGGAACGCGCTTGAAGATGTCAACATCTGATCATCCAGAATCAGATGGTCAGACGGAACGTGCCAATCGTGTCCTTGAAGAGATACTTCGAGGATACGTACACTCCTTTAAAAGTTGGAGTGAGTTTTTGCCAATGGTAGAGTTTGCCGTTAACAACTCGGTGCATGCGTCCACGACACATACACCGTTTTACGTGAATGGCTTACGCCATCCGCGTGTACCCACCTTACTAGAGTGTAACTCTGGTTTAAGGGGGGGAGGGACTCGCGCGAGCAAAAACCAAATTGGTTCACGCTCATCACGCTCTGACGAAGAAGTCATTGCGTTTGATGCCGATATCGATAACATCGATATCGAAGAAGATGATGCCAGTGAGAGTGCGGAAGCCCTCACTGAAGAAAAGGTTGGTGTTACTGCAGTGCGCTCACAGCGCACTGAAGCTAACGAGTCATCAGATGAGTTCATACTGGCTCGTGAAACGGTAGTCCGTTTTGTGCAAGATTCCATCGCCGAAGCGGTGGATAAGCAAAAGCAAAACGCTGACAAGAATGGAAGGGCAAACACTCTTTTATTTAATAAAGGTGACTTAGTCCTACTGTCTACGGTTAATCTACCAAAGCATGTAGTGACTAACTTGGGTAGCAGTAAACTACTACCCAAGTACATCGGCCCATTTCGTGTATTGCACCGCCTAGGCAATGCATACACGATCGAGTTACCACGTAAGATGCGAACACATCCCACGTTTTACGTTGGTCGGCTTAAGCCGTACCATCAGTACGCTGCTTCTTCCGATGAAGAACTCCCTTGCGCTCAAGCATCTCACAGAGAGCCTTGTGCTCCCGATGGTGGGCATCGACAAGGGTCTGAAGAGCAGTTATCTCAGCCCGAGACCGATCAACATTCCCACGAGCTACCCTTAGCTCGTCACGAAGAGACGTCAGAGCTCTCTTGTTCTCAAGCTGAGCAAAGGCAAACTCAGCTCGATGCTTCAAGACAGTGTCCGTCAGTTGGAGACGCCTGTCCCGCTCATGTTCGAGATCGTTGCGTAACCCTTGCGTTACGCGATCAAAGAAGCTCTCGGGAACACACGGATCCCCATGATCGTGTAGAGAGCGTCTTTCCACCTCCTCCACCTCCATTAGAGGACTCTCGCGGTGGCCAGCGCTATCTAGCTGAGCAGCTGTTGAACCACCGCGACGTGAACGGACGTCGGACGAGTTACCTCGTCCGGTGGCGCGGCTATCCCCCGTCCTGGGATTCTTGGGAGCCCCGCTCCCAACTGATGATCGACGTACTGGGTCTGGATGAGCAGTACGACGCGGCACATCCTGTGCCGCAGAAGGACCGCCGGAGAAATTCTCTCCCGGCACGGTCGTAAAGGGATTTCAGGTTGTCAATCCCTTCGTACATCTCAGTAGAGACACGTACGCGCCACCACGGGCTATTAGGGAGGTAAGCCTCCTTAGGTGCTCGTGCAGAGTTGTTCACACAACATGGGCACGAGTCTCCCCAAGAGAGGCAGGGTAATCCTTTCTCCCTTGACAGACGATGCAGCTTGTAGCGTGCACCTGTCGGGGTTCGCTTTTCAAACTTATCACGAGCTTTGATACGTTTGTCGTTCCAAAGCGTCACGACCTACATCCTCAAGGTTATGGATGTAGGTGTTCCACGCCTGAATTAGTGAGGGACCATCACGTTTGTGATATCCCACTGTACCATCGATGTCTATAGAAAGCATCGATGAAGAATTCATGTTCAGCGTGATAGTTTTTCGCGCTGGGGTCAAGGTGATGGATCCTTGACGAATCGAACAACCGTGTTCGATAACGATCACTCGTCGTCGCCGACAAATGATCCATGACTGATTTAGGAGGCATCCATGCCTTCTTCTCGGGAGCGAGACGCAAGACATTGCGGTCCCGCTCTTCCTGCGATGTGCCGACAGAAGGAATGGCACCTCGTTGCGAAGTGGTGTCAATAGGAGAACCGACACCACTGCGAGCACCCAAGTCTTGTGACTTCGAGTGCCTTCGCTTTGGCGATGGTTCATCTGATTCATCAGATGAATCAAAGATGCTACGACGCATAGTATCATCCATGCCACGCTTGGCAGGCGGCTTGGATTCGATAGCCGTCGATACGGATCCGTCATCCGTATCAGGAGAGTACGAGACACCGAGCTCGTACTCTGTGAAGACATGAGTGTCTTCATGACCAGCGCCTGCATCACCAAGTGACACGGTCTGGGTCGCTTCAGCAACCGATGAGACATCAGTTGCTGTTGTTTCTGCTTCGGCGTCCGCACAGAGACGTGCAGACGCGCTCTCGGCGGCCTTGTTTGCGCATCGCATGGGCTTGTTATCCATGCGATGAGATGTTGGAAAGTGGACTCGGACCAACAAGTGCAAACCCTACCTCAAATGATTTGGAACGAGTATCCATTGAGTCTATCATTCACTAAAGTGACTGATGGTTAAGGGGGTGGGGTGATGTGACGGGGTGAATCGTTACATAACAATTTATACGAAATTGTTGATAGAATATAACTATAAGAGTTGTATTCTCAGAATATTGTCATAAGGACAAATATTCTGTAGCACGTAAGAATAGTTCCTAATTGGTTGATATAGGCCACTATATCAACCAACGAAGACGCGCCCACGACAGACGCACGCCATGAGTGGTGAGCAGATAGTTGATATGCACATTTGTATTCAGACATAGTTAGATGAGGATAAAAAGTGATTGATTAACAGACATTAACTATACTAAATACAGTTCTACTTTTTACTTTAACCAAGCACTCGCTTCTTCTTACCGTCTTCCTCTGCACGTACCAGTGTACGTGAAGTTCCGAGGCACAGCCTTATTCTGTCATCAGAATAAGTAGCTTGTACTTTACCAGTACAAGCTTCAGAGTGCCCCGTTAGACTACGCCTACGAGTGTAATGCGTCACAACCAGCGTACAGTATTACTAAGTGAAGTGATTGACCGGCTGTTAAGAAGGGAAACGAAAGCGGGTCCGAAGATGTTGCAAAGTCACGTCAGCATGGCGGAATGTAAAAAATGGTTGTGGCAGTAGGGGCAGAGCGCCCTACCGATCCAGCAGCCTCAATCGAATTGCAAACCTATCGATGAAAGTTGATCCATACACACATTATCTTTGTGTCTCTGCACTTAATGAACAAGTACCTCTCATCACATTGAATTTAAAGAAGACACAAGATTTGTCACTTCATAACTTAGTGGAAATTGAGTCTCCGAACGATTTTGTCTGTCACCAGTCTCGAGAGGATCGAAGTTTGTAGACTAATGTTCAAAAAGGAATTGCTCCTCTTATTAGTCCGACGGTGCGCCTCAAAACATGCGCTTAATTGAAGTGATAAAATTTGTAGTGGGATTTTACTACACGATAGAAAGTTCGCAGTACAATGATAAGTTTCATCGTACTTTATTTAATGCAAATATGAGGTGAACATCATAGGATTATGCTGGCTTAAGAGCTATGAGCCAAGTGTCATCTAGCTGCATCGAACCGTGAAATTTTTTGTCACTTGTTCATCAGATGGTCATCCGAAGGACATCTTGTAGCGTCCACAAGCATGTAGCTGTACTGCGAGTGAGTGTGATGGCTTCACTTGCGTACGGTCGCTGGTACGACTGCACAAGATAACAATGTGACAACCAATCACACTTTACAGGAATCTGACGGCGGCTGTGCGGATGCACAGGCAGCGCTGAAGGTTTACTACTCGAATAATTTAAGTGGACCAGGACATGTGTGTACGCCTTGAGGGCTACACTTAAATAATAATAAACCAGTTGCCAACACATAACAGCACGATGAATCCTCATCGGCTGGAGGGTCGATCGTAGAGGACTTAGCTGTGCAGCTCAACCACGTCCAGAAGACGTCGAAGGAGTTATTTCCACGTACTTGAGGGAGAAATTACTAAAGCAGTTATTCGTTAGGTTAAGAGATCTCATTAAAGTGAGGGAATAAGCCCCTTGCAGCCTTTGGAAACAGTTTATTAGGAAGAGACCGAGACGTTGAATGTTCTGGTTGATGACGAATTAAATGTAGGTGCATGTACACTTGATCAGATCGCTCCTCCAAAGTTGACTTCGGAGGAAATCAAGTTGCCAAACCTATAGTCGAAACGGGTCTTGCGAAATCTGCGTAGGCGCAATGTCAAGAAGGCATGTGTATACTCGTCACGGACGACAAGTAAGTGACTGACATTCGGTCGGCAGTAATGATTTCCAAAAACGAACGCGTTCTTAGCAGCCCATCGATGGACGAAAGTGTTCTCGATGAAAAGATTCGAATTGGGCGATACTCGTCTTAATCTTAGGAGTCTTTAGAAAAAAAATTAAATAAAGAAAGATTTGATCGAACTCAACAATGTTTTCCCGGAATCCGTGCCATGCGATTTGTCTAAGGACAAAGGCTCTGGACATGAAATCGAACTGATACATGGTTGGAAGTACTGTGTCATAAAGCAGCGGCCAATTCTTGTGAACAAGTACTTGCGACTGACGATTTCTTTGCCGATCGATTAGCGGCTGGTAATGTGAGGGAATCAACATCCCCACACATCTCTGTGACCTTCTGTGTGCGAAAGGCCACAGGAAGGTGGCGGATATTGCATACGTTAAACACTATAATGCTGCAAAGGTACCGGATCAAACGCCGATACCAATGAAGGACGTAGTCATAGATGGTATGGCAAAAGCACCATTTTTTCGTCCATAGATCTGATGGATGGATTCAATCAGATCCTCATGCGTGAACGGGATATCTCTTACAGAGCAGTGAGCACCCCCAGCTCTATGCTCTGGGGAGTGGCTAGTGATGCTACAGGGGGCTCAGTGACGCCCCCGCAACGTTTAACAGATGTGTTACAAATCTGTTGCCGTCGGTGCGCGATATTGCACCGAGCCACTTTGACGAAATCTTCGTCCATAGCCGGGCAATGGATGCAAGGACGGACGCGGAGGTTCATAGAATCCATGTCCGAAAGGTTCTTACAGTAACGCGAGATCATAAGTTGTTAGCGAACCTCAAGAGGTGTATATTCACAGCGAGCGAGATAACATTTCTTGGCTGCATCGTGAATAAAAATCGTGAGTAAAAGGTAGAAAATCGTGAGTAAAAGGGTGTAAGCCCTGATCCGGAAAAGATCAAGGCGATTAGCAATTGGATTGTGCCAGTCGACGTCAAGGGACCTCAAAAGTTCCTTAGCTTGGCGGCGTACTTGCACAAATACTCGCGCAACTACGCCGATATGACCGTTCACCTCTTTCGTCGTTTAACTAGGAACTAGAAGTTATATGGTACGCTGAGTGTCAGCACTCTTTTGAAGGTATCAAGAAAATCTTGATGCAATCTCCTGTGTTGGCGATTGCAGACCTGGACAGACCATTCCATGTGGTCCGTGACGACAGCGTTTTCGCAATCGACTGTTTGTTGATGAAAAACGATGCAGACGGTGCAGAGCGCGTCTAGTATCAATCGCGTCAGCTGCAAGTGCTAAGCGTAATAGTTTATTGCATGACAAGTAACTACTTCTGATAAATTATGCAATGGCAAAGTTTCGCGTCTACATCCTTGGACATAGGTCGTTTGGAGTCTGTACGGACCATGCGTCATTACGCGCGTCTGTAAACAGCCCACACCTCTCGCAATTGATAGCGAGGTGGCTATTCTTTTTGAGGATTGCAACTTTTTCGTGAAGTTTAAACCTGGACGACTTAATGTCGTCACAGATGCGTAATCGCTCCAAACCGATTACAAGTCAGCTGCGTAGTACAACAGTAGGGGTGATCCCACTGTAGCAACACTAGTCACTAATATTCCGCCGTCAAGATTGCTCGACGAATCAACATAAAGGCTTAGCAGAAACAAGGCTCTTTTGCAATTAATGGATCATCTGGTGACTCATTTCGTAAATGTTTCAAGGATTTACTGGCCTGTTATCAATTCCATGAGGATTAAAACAAAATTTACAGCGGATTTCTATTCTTTGCAGCCGTTTACGGAGAGATGCCTCGTGTTGTCGTCCCCATTCAAAAATAGTTGCGCTTGCGCATCTTGAACGAATGCCATGTCGCACCACCTAGTGGGCATCGTGGGATTGAAAGGCATATCTCACGGTCGCGACTTTTACTGAGCCTGCCAGTATCATTTCGTTTATAAGTACATTGGTTATTGGAAAGTATTCCATGTTGAATTTCCGTTCCTTTACCCTGTGCGGCACTAACTCCTCTACAAATTTCGGCAGACTACTGGAAATTCGCTTCAATCATATTCGTTCCCGCGACGACACTCGCAAGAATAGTGGTATTCTTGTGTTCGTAGACCAATTTAGCAAGATGTTACATCTTGCTGCAGTTAATGAGTCAATTTTATCCCATGGTCGTGCCCTTGTCTTCATTGACACGGTATTATGAATCCACGGTCTACAACATTAACTAGATTTTAATAGATGTACTTTGTTCACGGCGACGTTTTTGCAATCCGTGTTTCGATTCCTCGGAACACGTCTGAATATGTCTACTTTTTACCATTTTAAGACTTTGGGTTTGACAGAACGCGTCAATCGCGTCCTCAAAGATTTTAGGATGCGTCCAGTCTTTCACAAATGGATCAAATTTTGGACGATGTTGGAGTTTGCAATCAACAACCTCGTGCATGCGTCTACAACACATACACCAATTTCCGTTAGCGGCTTAATCCATACACACCTTCCAGCAAATTTAGAGCGTGACTCTGATTCATAGAAGAGCGGTTTTCGATCATAAAAATTAATCCGCCTCTTGCTCATCACGTGTCGAGGAACTCGACGACGCGAACGTTGCTGATGTTGATCTGATCGACATCGAGGAAGAAACCTCAGCAAAAGCGACTTCACAATGGCTGAGCCGGATATAGATACGATGCGGGTGTATTTAGCATTTTTAATGACAACACCAGCGAGGGTGAGAAAAATCTTGCTGAAGCAGAAGATAAAAATTTACTATTATGCACAAGGCGCTCTGAAAAAAATTACTGTGAGTCAGCAGACATTTTCTTGATGGCACGAGAAGCGGTGGTTCATTTTATGCAAGACTTCATCGCTTACACGGTAGTACGGAAGAAGCCGATTGCTGACGAACATGGAAGAGCCAACGTTATTCTGTTAAAAGTTAAAGACTTAGTTCTACCGTCTACATTAAAATTTACTTTAGCACGTGGTAACTAACGTGGTTACTAGTAAACTAATCCTCAAGAACACATCAGGCCCTTTCGTGTACTACATCGCAAAGATAAAACATCGGTTCCTTTCGTGAAACATCGTAAAGGTAATGCGTTGACGATCGAGTTACCTCGCAGGATACGTACGCCTCCTACGCTCAGAGTCGGTCGCCTCTGCCCGTGCCATCGGAACGAGGTCTCGTCCTTGGGATAATACATCCGCCACGCTCAAGAAACTCTAAGATATTCGTATAAACCCAAGCCAGTTTCTTAATCTGGCTCTGAATACCGCGTGCTGGCGACGCATTTCATCCACTTCGTCGCGAAAGGCTGGACGCACACGCTCGTTATTATTTTTTATTAAAATGCCTGATACGATAGGTCGCCTGTTCGATGAAGGTGGATGCGTTGCACTCACGCGTTTAAAGGGAGGCGCTCTTGTCTCTCTTGCTCATTACTATCACGCAGAATTTGTAAGCGTGGCTGGAGACAACTAATCTTCGCCTTTAACTCCAGTAAAATATTCGGAGTTGATCCTTTCGTCTTCACTACAGCCATTGTTGGACTCTCACACTGGCCAAACCTGTCACGTGGATTGCATCTTGAACCACGCGACGTAAAGGGGAAGCGAACAAACTGTCCTTTTCTCTGGCGAGGCTGTACACTTCGCACGACAGCTGAGAGCCTCGCACCCAGATGGTGATTGACGTTGAGGGTCTCGTCCACCAGTACGACGAGACACATCCGATGTCTCAGAAGGGTCATCGTTAAACACGCGCCAATGGCGCTGGTAGAGAGATTGCACGCTAGCAATCGCATTGTGCATTTAGAATCGATGGGCGCCTTACCTCAGGGTGATGAAGGAAGGGAGCACACATTCCTTTAGGTGCGTTGAGCTTTGTCGAGACAACACGGACATAAATCGCCCCACATGAGGTATGAAATTCTTGCCTCACGACACAGAATGCTAACTTGGCTTTTGCACCAGTTAAGGTTCGCTTTTCAAACCTAACACGAGCTGTTTAAGTATCTGAAGCCAAGCTTTGATCCCCATGTGCTGCACATTGAGCATTAAGGCGTTACGCCCGCAGCAACGAGCTTTTGTCTTCCTTAGTGCTGTCATTATACCAACGATGCTTCGGAAAAACATTCATTTACAAGTCTACTTCAGCTTAAAAGTTACTTGCGCTGATGTAGAGGCTGTGCAACAACCTTGCGTCGAATAATGAATTTCGATGATGTAGACTTGTCTCGCCTGACAGGTATCTCGAAATTCTTTCTAGTAATCCCCAATTCTTGTGTTCGGAGGCAAGCCGCAGCACATATACGTCTAGAGCCTCTTAAGCATTACTAACGGAAGTCTTGATACCTCTAAAATTGTCATTACGGCGGTAAAAGTCATCTCCGCATTAGCTAGAAAGCGAATGTGCAGTAGCAGGCGCGGGGGTAGGGCGTGTCAGCATGCTTATCCTCCGAACTAAAAAGGTACTCTTGTATTCACCATGAGTCTGACTGTCCGCTCGAGTCCTATTCGCAGGCTCTGATTCGGACGCCCCTATAGACTCGGGTATTCTAATTTTCTTCTTCTCGTATACCCACCGTCCGACTCCCCCCGAATGAAAAGCTTCACTTGGGAGCCGTCATCATTAGCCTGTGGTGACTCACCACGTGTATACTCTCTGTTAATATGTGTCTGTCTGACGAATAAAATTACGTGACTTCATGTCTTTTCTGCAGTTTCGTTGCAACTGGTTGCAGCCTCGTGACGGACAGAGGGACTGGAAACCCCAAGGGCTATGGTTTTTGTGAATATGCAGACGGAGCCACGGCTTTAAGTTCCATGCGGAACCTCAATGGGTACGAGATCAATGGACGCAACCTCCGGGTGGACTTTGTCGATGGTAAGGACAAGTCTGGAGGGTCCGAACGAAAACGTCACGAGACTGGAAGCCATAATGGGGACAGTCTGGAGGGTCCGAACGCAAACGTCACGAGACTGGAGGCCAATCTCGACCTGGGGGAGCTACTGGTAGCAACTTTTGGGGCGAGGGCGGGCACCCGACGATGGGGACTGGAGAGATGGCGATCCATGCAATCGAGTCGGCCATCTCTCGGTTCGGACCAGTCAAGTTGTACGACATGTTGGTGCAGCTGAAGGAGCATGCAACCAGAAGCCAGAGGTGACCAAGAGCTTATATAACCCACCTCACACCTCCTTGTGCACAGAATGATGGCGAACCCAGCGCTAACACATGCACTTGTGCAGAGTTTCAAGACACTACAGATCTCCATTCCGTCGTCAACAGAGACACAAGCAGTGTTGCTGGCCCCTCCTCCCATGATGCACCAACCACCACCCATGGCAGGAAGGATGATGCAGCAACCGCTACGGCCATCTATGGGCGGGTCTGCGGTATCTAGTTCTGGTATTCTAGGTATGGCCCCGCCAGGTGTTCGGTCGGCTATGCCAGGAGCGTCAGCAAAAGCTGGTGGTACGCGATGGAGTGCACGACCGGGGCCTTTGGCTGCTCAGGCGACGAGTGCCGCTATGACCAACAGACCCGCCCCTGCTTCTAGCCCGATGCACACTCAGTCTAAATCAAGCTTGATGCCCACACCAACTGTACCAGCACATTCGAGCGAACCGCCTAGCAGTAACTTGGTGCACGCTAGTCGCGATCCTTGTCGAGCAGGAAGAGGAGATCCACGTGCAGCCAAGAGACCGTATTCCGCTGGCGAAGGACCGGTAGCGCCTACACAAGGAGACCACGACGCTCTGAAGCGCGTCAAGTCCAGCGGTGCAGGCGGCGATAGCGCTTCAACTGGTCATTTTGACGCTATCGCTGAACTTGCGCGCAACACGACCCCACAAAACCTCGACATGCTGCCACCAAACGAACGGCAGATGCTGCTGGCTTTCATGCAGCAGAACAATATTCCATTTGGAACGGGACAAAGTGTTTATGATGGTATTCAAGTTCATCAGGGTGCTTAACGAAAGACTACAGCAACGAACTAATTCCTGATAAACAACCAACAAAGAATAAGGAGCTTTCTCTTATCAAATGTAGCGACTCTCGACTAGCAGTCTCTACTTCGTCAGCGTAGCTGACTAACCAGAGTTTCCCCCATCTACCGTTGGCCCTTTGTGCGTTAATTCTTGCTAGCACGTTTGCCTCCTTTCGGTGGAGATTGACCATTGGTCCTGATGCCTTTTCGTGCACCCGAGAAGCCCAAGATATCGTTCGTACTTTCCTTCGTGTTACTTTTGCCATGGCGACGTTTGCCCCCAAAGCCAAACCTTGCATCTTTGGCCTCTCGAGTCTTGTTCGTCCGTGGCTTTTTGCTCCCCTTGTCACGGTCTCCACCCGTGTGCTTCCGCTTGCCACTCACGATGGTCGAGTCAAGCTCGCCATCGTCACCATCCTTGAGACCGCTGCCGCTGCGTGTGTCTTTACCTTTTCTCTTCTTCCACTGCTTCACAGCTTCAACAGTGTCTCCTTCTTCTGCATGTTCCGTTCCTTGACCTTCTCTGCCTGCACTTCTTTCGCCACCTTCCGATGCGCCTGTGACTTCTTGCGCTCTTCGACTGCCGTGATCTTCTTCTGCTCGTGAATAAGCTTGTCCTTGACTTTGTCCATGTGCGCGCCGCGCTTGAGCATCTCGGCGAAATAATCGTCCTGCCGCTTGTACGCCACGCCGTCTTGCTTCAGTCGGTCTTTCGCCACACGCACCATAGCGATTGAGTTGGTGTAAAACGCCACTTCCCGCTTCAAATCGTCATTCAAGTTCTCGAGCTCTAAAGGAGCGGTACACGTCTCCAGGGTCTCGATCCACGGCAGCGGCTTGACGTCCCACTCCTGCACCAGCGCCAGCAGCGCCTCAATATTGTACACACGCTTGTTCTCTGACTTCAAAGTGCTCAAAACAGTCGCTGCTTCCGCCTGAGCCTCAGCTACGAGCCGACGCTCGATTGCACCTTCTGCTTCAACGGTGTCGCTGTCATTAACATCGTCGTCGCTCTCACTCTTGTACCCACGATCAGCGACCGCAATGGAGCTGAGCGCTGGCGTCTCGAGGATCTCTTCCTCTGCCGCATCTTCGGCTCGCACTAACGCACTGATGGAGCGACGGGGCGAGTGCTGCTGCTCTTCCGGACCATCACGAGTGAGGAGGAGCTCCGAGGATGGACTTGAGGAGCGCAATGGGGACTTTAGAGCGAATTGATTGGCCAGGACGAACGCGACGTCACTCGGTTGGTCTCTCGCGTTTGTGACGTGGTTCACAAGACTTGATCGAGGCCTGTAGCCATTTGGACTGTTCGTCGTGTGTACGACCAACGACTGGATGAAGAAACGAAAACAGGCGCTTGTCGGACGAGGGACACATTGGTCGTACATGTCTTTTTGCTACTGCGAAGATAGAGGATGCTGAACGGAAGCTTGGCTTGAATCAACGGTAACAGCCCATGATTAATGGGCGATTGTCAAGTAGCTGCGAGAGTTGCATCGACGACGATTGCTACATTCATTAATGGTACGCTGACATGATTGTCCTCGTTTTGACTCGGATTGCAACGCCTACCACCACTGCAGAAGACGTTTTGGTCTAGTTATGCTTGCAGTGTCTGAACTCCTTCTACTTCTCAATCGCATCGTGCAAATGCTGCGCCTTTACTATCTGCATTTGAGGCCTCCAAACTCGACATCGCAACGTACACTTTCAACGTCGAAGTCTAACAATGATCTCCTTCATCTCAGATCCAGGCAAATGGTTTGCAATGTTCAATTTGATGCCTTGCTTAGCACTCCATACCGGTGGCAGCAATCAAATCCACACATTGCTGTCCTGCGCATTAAGTCTACCACCCAAAGCCCGTGGACCCAAAGGCTCCGTTTCGAGTTGTAGACAGCAAATCGATCATGAACGCCAGGATGGCAAGGACCTCGTAGAATTAACGACGAGCGCAGACGCTTGAAGAACCTTTCAGATTCATCAGCAGCGCGTCCAGACGGTTACGAGAACATTCTCTGACCAAATCGGTAGAAGCGGGCGTCCAATGTATCCAGCATTGTGGCTGCTTCAACTGATGAGATTCGTGCCAGCTGCTCTACTGCAGCTGCGTCGGGTCAGACTCTATCGTCGCATTTGAAGGTGTAAAAGGCATGTTGTCACGTTCTGGAAAGGATTGCGGCACACCTGCTGTTTTAAATGAAAAAAGAACTGATCGAAAGAGTGGTACCGTAAGACTGTGGCGTGATTTTTTGTGAGTAAAATGAGACGGAATTTCAAATCGTGCAGAGAAGAATCCTGTTGATGATGTACACTTTGTGCACGCTTAAACGTCTTGATGACGTCTGATTGTAATCGTTTTGAAACGGACACAAAAGTGAAACCTCAGCAGTCGGTTATCTGACAGGGAAACGACACAGGCGAGACCATCGTAGTGCTTCTACGATAAGTAGCTGCAGGCTCTTGCAGCTTTATTAACGACTATTATGCTTTCCAATTTATTTCCTGGCTACTAGTTGCCCTCCCTCTGCAATATCACCTTAAAAAAATCCAACCCCTTCTGTAATGGATGGGCGCAAAGGCTCAAAGAATCTTCGAGATTCAACGACTTTTCGACCAAAACCTTTCGAACACAATCCCGAAGGGCGGTAGGTAGAAACGAGCGCTCACAGTATCCACCAAGATTAGCGACTTAAAAGTACAGCTCGTGTCAAGTGGTCTGCTCCTTCTCCGTCAGATGACACTTGTACCGTTCAATCGCATAAATAAACTCCATTCAGGCAGAGATTGCAACATGCTGATGGCCAATACGAAAAGCAGCGTTGTAAAGATGTGGGACACAAAGGTTGTGCCATTGTATTCTGTAACATTAAGTTGTAGAGAATGTCGAGGAGACGTGGCTGTATTTTAGCCAGCTGGTCGCACCCCCTAAATCCTCGTCTTGTTCACTCATAGATCCGACTGAGCACACACGATGGTGATTCTCTTTTTTTATGGACGGGTTAGATAGGCGTTCCTCATTCTATCGTTACATCTCTACCGCGCACGTATATCTCTTTACCTTGCGTGTTGCTTTGCAAAATCAAGAATTGCTGCAACCCGCGGTCGCAGAGCCAATCATCGCAACTTCGCAATCTCGTCTTGTATGCGCAATGCAACCACGATGCTTCTGCGACAAGACTTCTCTTCTGTGTTGTATGGCTGGATCGACGACTTTCACTCGTCGCATGACCACGACTGCGCGTGTACAGCACATAAGTGTCGAGAATGCAGTCCTGGTTCATTCCTGATTTTGCCACGTACGTCGCAGCAGGGAGAAGACCGAACAAAACAAAGCCAAGCCAAGCCTACGGTACAATGCCACTCAAGTCCGCCCTCTGAGTCGTCCTTGCTGTCGTCGCCTACGGGGGTGTTTTCGATGTCATGCATGCTCAAAGTGATGACAATGTAGATGTCTGCCCAGGTCACATGTGCGAACCTAAATGTAATTATGTGGCTCCAGTCAAGCTTCGTCCATGAAATGCTGCGATGACCACTGTGAAAATTCAAATTTTCATAGTCGGAGGCCGGGGTCGTCTATCCCCTCCCTGGTTCAGGTACCGAGTGTGCACTATCCAGACGATAAGGTTCGACAAGTGACGGAAAGAGAACAAATGCCTAATAAACGTTTGTTTATCTTTTGTTCGTGCATGTCCATTGCGTAGATTGCAGTACTTCTGTCAGGTGTTGATAAATGCTTATTTGCCAAAAAAAAAAACCAGAAGTCCTTAGATGCTGTTTTGTTGTGATTTGGAGAATACTGGACCTTAAATCTTCACATACAAGCGATTAGTTGAGATTCTATCTGATCTGTCAAAATGCAGGTGTCGCAATGGGAATGCAAATTTAGCAACCTCAGCCTTCACAAACTGATCATTACTATCTTTCTCTTTCGTTGCAAATGGCCACCAGCCAGGGCTTTCAAAAATTCCCGATAAAGTCTAAACCTGGAGAAGAAATGTAACGGGGTGAATCGTTACATAACAATTTATACGAAATTGTTAATAGAATATAACTATAAGAGTTATATTCTCAGAATATTGTCATAAGGACAAATATTCTGTAGCACTTACAAGTAGTTCCTAATTGGTTGATATAGGCCAT